TTTTGTTCTCTTGGATTCAAGAACCTTTTCTCAAAAAAATTTCTTTCCCCCCACAGCATTCCCCTATCTGCTGACATGCACAGAAGTGATCACTCTTGCCATGAAGACTCACATAGATTCTCTGGATTTACAAGTAAAAGGCTGCACTTTATTGCTTGAAATTCTTAGTCAAGGTACAATTTTAAAATTTCCTCCTTCTGCTGGGTCTTGTAAAGCTTACTGAACCCATTATCTGCTCAGTTAACAATTTTAGGGGATGAATTCAAAGAGCTAAAGGAAGTTAAGCAGCTTTCTGAATTCTCATGGCCCTCCTTCAGGACTGGCATACAGGAATTCTGTGTTAAGAGTTAATTTTGAGTATAGGTGCTGATCTTGTCCAACCAAGTTTGTTTTCATCTTGTGTAGAGTGTTGCTAGAGGGCATAAATAAGACTCTGATTGTTTTACTGTTTGAATTTTAAATAATAAAGGTGGTTTTGGGTTTTTTGTATGGTCCCTACTGTCACTTTCATGCCAGTTTACCCCAAAACCTCCTGGTGATATGAGCTTAAAAATACTAAGAATTGAGTTTCAGACAATGAAAGTTTAAAGTAACTTTTGCTTATTTGATATGAAGAAATGCTGTGAATTGAATGTTTTACTATACTGATTGCAGGGCAGGGGGGTTCAGATTTCATTCAAAACCACTGAAATGTTCTATTCCAATGTTTGTGGTGACAGCTCTGGAACAGGGGGTGATGATGGCCCTGGATGAGAGTGTGGCCAGCTGCCTGTTACACACACTGAGAAAACATTCTGAAAATGAAGAGTTCCTTTCAATGATCTGCACATTATTGATGATGGTTTCAGCCAGTGGTGGGTCACCTTGCTCATTCTTTGAAGAATATTAATAATTTATTTTTACTTTTTGGAACAAATCCAAGATACAATGCAGAACTTGTGACTTCACTGAGAGGTGTGGATGTCTGTGGGTAATTAATAATTTAATAGTGGCAATATTGGTAAGATTGGTTAGATATTGATAACACCCCTGAAAGTTTAAGATAAAATGCTGAAGCTTCAGAGATTTACAGGACCACTCTTATAGATATAATTCTGTATTTCCTTTTGGTTTGGAAACAAGTACAAACTCTGCAAATAGTAGTGCTTGAGAAAACGAGGGCATAGAACCTGAATTCTATTTTAGACTGTGCCATGATGAATTGAAACCATTCTCCCTAACTTCTCTACTTTGTTTTCTTTTCTTCTGAACTTATAACTGCTAAATATTTATAGCATTTTTAGTTGTTTTCAATGTCAGTTCAACAGTCATCAAAGACTGTTTTCAGAAATGGTTACGGTAGGATTTAGCAGCAAGGGGGAAATCTTCAAAAAATTTGTTACAAAGGATCATGTCTAAGACCAAACTATTTTTATCCAGTGTTTCCTAATTCTGAAGCTTAGCTTGAATCGCTAAAATGGAAACAGGTGAAAACTTGTAATTTACACCCTCTCAGTTCCTTTCCTGCTCTGTGAATTCCAAGTCTGGGAGGAAGAAGGATGGCCAGGCATCCATTTGAAAGGATCAGCTGTATAAAGTGCATTTTGTTAAAGAATTCGGTTTGTTCCCTTGCTTCCTTTTGTCCAGCTGATGGGCTCCAATTACCGGTCTGTTATCTCAGTTTAAACACGGTTAGTGCTGCCTGTTTCGAGGCCAGTGAGTGGGACAAAAATACCAAATTCTATAGAATTTCTGTGGTTTTCAGAAGTGGCTGCGGAGAACCTAAGGAAAGTTGGAATCATTCCAGACCTTCTGTCAATTTTAAGACGTTTTCTTCATAATGACAAGATCTGCTTCTCTTGCTGTGCTGTTCTCTGGAGCTTGGCTGTGAGTGGTAAGTGGAACACTGAGAGTATTGTGCCTGCACTCATGTGACTGAAGGGCAGCAGGTATTGAGCCTAATTGAGTTCAGACATTCCTGTCGCTGGGATTGGATTTTTTTCCCATTCTTATTCCAGGGAGTTGGAATGAGATGATCTTTAAGATTCTTCCCAACCCAAACCAATCTGATTTTGTGATTCTGAAGGGTTGTTTCCACAGCACTGCTACAGTCACTTTGTGATCCAGCAGTTAAATTAGATAAAAATAAAAACGAATGCAGAGTTTTTGAGCAACCCTTTATGTGATAAGGTGTCAAATTGGAGCCGTTCAGGCCAAGACGTGACCTGATTTTATATTTACTGATTTGTTTCTGTCATGTGTTCTTGTAGAGAGATGTGTGGTGTTCTGATCATGGAAGGCTGGAAGCACAAACTGTGCCCAGTTGCACTTGGTGTGTTTTATTCCCTCTGTGCAGCAAATTACCCGTTGGATTTATGGACAGCTGAATCTCCATCCTGCAGCCTGGATTCTGTCAAAACTGTGGTTATTTCTGGAGGTTTCTTGCTGTGATCCCTATGCATAATTTAAATGACAAAGAACACTAGTTCCTGCAGAAGTTCAGCTTTCTCCAATAAACAGAATTATGTATTAGTCCTGTAGCACTTGCTTTGGTTCTGTACATTTTTTATTCCTTCCCTCTGCTGCCCTCCAGACTAAAACAATGTTGCATTATTCCAATGCCAACTCCCATTAAAGCTTTACTGGTATGATTTGACATACAAGGATATCATTACTTCATTAAATAACTCTGCCTGGTGCATTTCCTTTCTGTTAAGGTAATTCAGAGAACTATGCAGACCAAGCAGTGCTGGAAAGTGCTGTCCCCGTCACCTCTGCAGTGCTTCAGAACCACCTCCAGAATGGAGTCGTTGCAGAGTGTGCCTGCTCAGCTCTGTGGGCACTGGCTCTCCAAGGTGTGTGTTCCCAGTCTCCCTGTGCCCTGGGCATGGAAAAGGCTGGGATGTCTGTGTGTCAGTGGTGATCCTGCAGTCCAGGCTGCTTGGCTGGAGGAGGCTCTGCAGATGGCAGCAGAGTTGGGAACTTGCATCCTCTCTTGGCCATTCTTCCCTGCACTCGCTCTGTGACTCCCTAATGAAGCCATTTTTGATGAGCTGCAGCAATTAAATCACCAGATACTGCTGATGGGGACTCCACTGGTGGGCAGCTAATTTGCTTGGTTGATTTGGAGCAGTATTTCATGTTAAAGAAATAATCTTTCATTATCATTTGCACTAAGGAATCCATCCTTGCAGTACTACTCTGTCTTATTTCTTCCTCATACAAGAATATTGGCACATTTACCTACTGCCTGCCCCTGTGCTATTGTTCCACTAGGAGAAGCTAAGCAAAACACCCTCAGCAATCTCATTTCTATTCCTTATCGGCAATATAAGTTGAGTATTCAAGATTCTTTATTCCTTTGGCCTGGAGGATATTGAAATTTTGGGCTTTTCTGTGTGTTTTGTTTATTTTCTTTAAAGGTTGTTTAACTGACAGTGACTATGAGCCCATAGCAGCACTTTTGCTGGATGCACTCAGGATGAACCCAAAAAGAGCAGTGCTGGTGAAGAATGGCTGCCTGGCATTAGCCAGCCTTGTGAGGCTCTCAGGTAACATTCAGCAGTTCTGCTTTCATTAATTACCAATCAGCTAAATCAACATGAAAACAATCATTAAAGCACTTCTGCCCTGCATAACTGTGCCAGGTGCATATTTGGTCTTCTACTTGTTCCCAAATATGCTTCAGAATAGTTTTTAGGAAGACTGAAAATAATGGGCACAAATTCCTGAAAATGTGACATGTGCCAGCTGGTGAGGGGATGGGAAGCAGATCCTGCAGTCTGCAGCTCCAATGTTTGTCTTCCTTGCAGAAACTGCAGCTCTGGCAATTCTGCTGGACTCAAAAGGCAGTGGAGTAGAGCTGATCAGAGAGGAGTATCACCTTCACTTCGACCAGCCAGGGGTGGCAGAAGCTCTGTGCCTGCTGATGAACGAGATGGTTCAGTATGGTGAGATGGCTGCTGCTGCCACTTGAGTCTCCTTCTCTCTCCCAACCCCAAAATCAGTCAAACCTCAACAGCAGCTCTCAGGAAAGACTGACTTTGTACCTGAGAAAGTTCAATTCATCCTTCTGAGAATTCACTCCACTTGTTCCAAACAAATACCACTCTGATAGTAAAACATTTTAACTTGATTTTATCTTGCCTACTCTTTGTGTAGCTCTGTCCTCTCCTGTGCTCCTTTAGCTCCTAGTCCACTGGCAGTTGTGCTATAACCATAAATTTTCTTGTTCATTGGCACTGCAGATGAGGTTATGCTGGATATGAGGTCTCAGAAAATGGAAAAGCTGCTGTCTGAAATAAAACTCCAGTTTCCATTTAGCACGGTATGGAGAAGTCTCTGTGATAATAAAGTATATTGGTATATTATTTCTGGTGGGGGATAGTGCAGGAATTTAGAGAATTAGCTGCATGTGGAATGAAGAGTGAGTTTGTAAGGATAGTTCTAACCAGTGGTTGAAATTTGTTTTTCTTGTTGTTGTTAATGCTGAAATTTTTAAAAAAAGTATGCTCTGGTCTCTTGCAACATTACATTAATTTACTACAGTCCTCATGATAAACCAGACTAAAGTTTACAGGAATAAGGCTGTAAGTACATTACATCCAATTTATTTTTGGTTTGGAAGTGGCATCGTTAAAAAGTAAAAAAACAACAAAACTTTCTGATTACTTTCACCAAGTAGCCACACTGAAAAAAAAAGGAAAAACCAGCAAAGTTATCAGAGCTATTTAATATGTTACACTAATATTTCTTTTGCAATTGATTGCTGGCAAGAAACCAATAATTAGGTTTGTTCATCAAGCCAATAAAACTGGTTAGTATTAATTTTGCTGATTTTAGTTATGTATTTACAGAATTGTTTTTAAAGACAGTTCCAATCTGTTCTCCAGGTTCTCCTGCAGGCATTGCCTGCACCCCTCAATGAACACTGCAGCCACAAGGTAGCGCAGAAAAAAACAATTACAGAAGGGGAGAAAGCTCCCTCTCCTGTTATAACAACAGCAGCCACTTCAAAGAGCTATGTTAGACACATAGTTTTTATTAATAAATGAATACAAAAATAAGTGGAGCAACAAGGTCATCTTCTGTGTGACAATTCTCACATTTCCCTCTAGGAGATTCACACCCTGGTGGATGCAACACTTTTGAAACTGAGGAAGGAAAAACGCTTTGTCTAAGAACAAGACTTGGCCACTGCTGGATACAAAAGCCTGGATCCTCCATTAGAAGATTCTTCTCACCAGAAAAAATACTGGGCTATTGAGAATATATAAACAGGTATTTATGGCTGGTTTAGGTACCACAACTGTGTAACTAACAGCAATAATTAAGAATTCACCTTGTAGTAGACTTCACTTTGTGAACCTCAACATACTTGAAATAAAGAAATCCTCAGAGTTTTGACAAAGCAATGACAATTTCTTCCTTCATCTATCATAATTTAATTTTTTAAACTTATTTTTATTTTTTAACTTATTTTAATTTTTTTGACCTTATTCAGTGTCTATTTCTGTTGAAGGAATTAACTGATGGAAGTTCTTCCCAACTGCAGGCATTTGCTACAAAGGTTGTTTGAACACAGTAGCAGGCATCAGGCACAGGGAGCATCCACAGCTGGCAGCAGCATTCCTGTACTTCCAGGTTATTGGAGCATTGTCTTTGGACTGATTTTATGAAGTAGCTGCTGTCAGTTCTGACTTCTCTCTAAATTTGGAATGTGACATCAAACCAGCAAATGCTGCACTTGGAAGATTCTACCCAGCGTTTTTAAGTTTTACTTTTTTTGTTGTTGTTAGCTTTGTTCCTAATAGCAGCCTCCCATTTCTTTTTCTCCAAGGTGTAAAGTCTCATAGCTGCTTGTGCATCCTGGATCTGAAAGAGAACAGACCAGACAAGGATGTGAGATAAGCAGCTAAATCTTCCATCATTTTAATTATATCCTTCCAATTAACATTTCATGATCTCTTTTTACATTTAGGCTCTGTGCCTAATGAAAGGGATAAATGGTGTATTTAGAGTCCAGGGCCCACCCCAAGGCTCTGCATTTTTGACTGTGACTTGGAAAGTCATAATGACAAAATTCTCTTGATACAGTATCTATGAACTCCCCTCCCAGTTTGGCTTCCCCAGTTTATTCCTCTTTTCCATCCTCCTGAATTTTAGCCCACTGAAATTAAAGGATCTGCTGAGGTTCAGGTTTAGCCTCTCCCACTGTTTATCCCTCCTGCCACAGTGCAGCAGTGTCGAATGCTGCTTTTAGGATAAAGAGATCTTGATCACTACCTTTCCCTGTGAATTTTAAAATAATTCACAGTTTTTAAAAGAATTCAGAGTTGATTTGTGCAAAAGCAGCTTACGAAATGAGGAAACAGTGAGCAAGTTTAGAATGACAATCTCTTGGTGCTGTCCAGGCAGAGCTTGCTGAGTTTCACTGGGATGAAGGAAGAGCATTTTGGACTGGATGTTCTGAGGAGGCACCTACCGAGCAGTGCTCTGCTGTCTGCACCTGAATGTTGAGCAGCCTCTCACAGAGCAGCTTCAGGGAAGGACTGGAACTCTAGAGACAGAAAAAACATCACAAACCATGCTGACTCACAGGACTTGAAATAACAGAGATGGGTGTCTGTATAAAAACAATATGTTCCTCAAAGAATAGCACATCTTAGCTTCTGCTGGTGAAATATCAGCAATAATTAATGAATTCTGAGATTTGTGTGTGCATAGGTAGGAAAGAAGGAGCAGGGTCAGGTAAAAGCAAGCACAGGAGTGAGTCAGCAGCTCTAGAGTCTGTAAATTGAGCACCTTCCCAGCAGTCTCTTACTTTGACTCTCTCTTTGAAAGGTTTGTATCTCTGTGTGTCCCTGATCTTCTTCTGAGGATGATCAAGAAGTAGGACCTAGAAGAAATCACATTTTCAGTCTAAAATGTGTTATGCATGAAACTTTACAGAGCTGAATGTGCAGCTGCCTGGTGTTTCCTCCCACCCACTGTAAGAGACACTTCAAACCCATGAAAGGACAAACCCAGCTCATACAGACAGGGGCTGGATTCAGGACCAGTTTCCAGGAGTTCAGGTGTGTTCCCTTGATCCAGAAAGATTTATTAGAAACTGAATTTTCAATGTACCTGTAGATCATTCCGTAAGGCGTGGCCAACTAAAATCCTGCCCTTCAAGATCTCAGCCACCTCCTTCTGAACAGTTTTAAAGTCTTCACCTAAAAATGCCACACAAGAAAACACCTTCCATGAGCAAACAGGGCATCTCTTCTGGGAAGTAACTGTATCCTTAGGACTGTAGTTATTGTAAAGTACACTGAATCCTGGCTTGCTAGAACATAGAGAATTCCATACAGAGCACAGCATGAAAAGGAAATTATTTTTTTATACCCTATTCAACCATTTAATTCCTTTAAGGGTGTTAGTGATCACTGTATAAAAGCACTTCTTCCCACAATTTTTCTTAGCATTAAGTTGAACTTAAATCTCAGCACTTTATTTTCCCAAATTAGGTCTCAAAAACTGATCCAAGCTCAGCCAAAGAGGCTGCTGTGACAATCCATCAAATTCTCCCTCTTTCAAAAACCTTTTGGGGGAAACCCCTGGTACCTGTGTTTATATTCTGAGGCCGTATGCCACTGACAGCTGTCCTGTAGTCTGTCACCTTCTCTGTGGGCTTGACGTACTTGTCATAAACACACTTCCCAAACTGGTTGACGATGGACACCCGAGCCACGATGCTGTCCTCGCCCTTGGGGCCCACCCCCACCATCTCACAGTCCATGGCCACAGCTCGAGTCAGCCTGGAAGGCAAAGGGACAGCTTGGGGACAGCTCTGCAGGGCCCAGCTGGAGCTGACAAGGTTCACATGTTGATTTGAAGAGGGCAAAGCCTGGCAGCAGAAGCAGGGAGATGGCAGCTCACCATGCAGATCAGTTATCAGAAGCCAGTCTGATACCTCTGATGCCATCCTTCCCCCTGGAATGTCACTCACCCATCAAAAGCCTTTTCCTTAACCAGCACCTGCTCCACAGACTGGGATTGCTCTGTTTCAAGTCCCATGTTCCTTCTGGCAATTTTTGCTGCTTCAGGCCCTATTGCTGCTTCAATATCTTTTGGATCAACGTCATCAAACCAGATGTCAGCCCTGGGAAGAACAGATTTAATTACATTTAACAGTCTCAAAGCAATCTGGTGGCTGTTGTACAAAAAGTATGTTTACTTTTTAAATCAAGAGCTAAACCTTGTGAAAATTAACTGTGACTGGCACCTCTGCAGATTTCTTGTTGTGTCTGAGGAGTAGGGGCAAAATATGTGAATTTCAGAATTTAGTCTGGAAAAGTAAAGCTGTTTTGAGTTCTGTGCTCCTCCCAAAATAAATATTCACATCCAGGGCTGCTGCCTGAAATACTCACTCTTTGGGCTGCTGCTCCACATGTTCTTCAGTTTTCATCCTCTTATGTTTCACCTCATCCTTGTCCTTCACAACGATGCCGTTTTTCTTTTTTTCTTTGCAGCTTTTCCCATTGCTTTTGGTGCCATTTAAGTTCTTATTTGCTGTAACTCTTTTGGATATTGGCTTAGCCAAAGAAGAACTGGCTTTAGCTGAACCATTGTCCATTTTATTTGTGGATTTGGCCTTTACCACATTCCCGTTCCCATTGACTGCTGGGACTTCTGGGCTTTTGGCTGCTTTGAGTGGCAGCTTCTTTTTGGTGTCTGTTTGACCCGTAGAGATGGGCTTGTTGGAGTTACTTGCCTTTTGTTTCAGCAGCTAAAATTAAAAAAAAAAAATAGAAAGGAAAGGAGCCTGGAAAACAGAAGGCTTTAGAGTGACCTAACTGTGTCCTTCCAGCACCTAAAAAGAGCCTTCAAGAAAGGGCGAGAGGGACTGTTCACAAGAGCCTGAACTGACAGGACAAAGGGAATGACTTCAAGCTGCCAGAGAGCAGCGTTACATGGGATATCGGGAAGAAATTCTTCTCTGTAAGGATGCTGAGAACCTGGCACAGGCTGGCCACAGAAGCTGTGGCTGCCCCTGGATCCCTGGCAGTGTCCAAGGCCAGACTGGACGGGGCTTGGAGCAGCCTGGGGCAATGGAAGGTGTCCCTGCCCTCGCTGCGAGTTAACTCCAGCGTGGAGCTGCATCCAGGCACTGCCAGCACGGCCCCGCTGCCTCCCTGTCCCAGCTCCCCGGGGCTGTCTCCCACCGCATCCCCCGCTCCCCCTCACCTCCTGCAGCGCCTTCCAGTTGGAGGAGAACTCCTGGGGGTTGCGAGGGGGACCCACAGCCGCCACCCCGGGGCCTTTGGATGCGGCCGCGGCTTCCCCGAGGACCTTCCTCTTCTTCCTCCTCTTCTTGCTCTTCCCGCGGGCCGCGCCGCTCGGTCTCGCCGCCTGCGGCTCCGCAGGACTCTGCTTGGCCATGCGGGAGTCAGCGGGGTGGGCCCGGGATCAGGACCGGGATGGGGATCAGGGCACAGCGAGTCCCAACCCAGCGCTGCCGCAGGGGGACCGGCACAGCGCCGCACCGCCCCGGCGGGGAACGCCGGCCCGCACTTGGGTTCCGGGCCGGGGAGGGGGGAGGACAGTTCCAGGGTTCCGGGGCTGGGGGATGGCGGTGTGACCCCTCCAACACAACGGGTGTGTCCCCAGGGCCACATGGCCCCCGAGCCGCCCCTTGGCCCGCCGGGGCTGGCGCACGTTCTGGAGAAGCCGCGGACATTGCGCAAGGACGGCCGCGCTCCAGCTGCCGCTGCGGCCGCGGCCCCCCGCGCCCCCGCTCCGAGCGTGTTTGCTCAAAGCCTGTTTGCTCAAAGCCTGCTTTTTTTTTTTTTTTTTTTTTCTTTTCTCTTCCCTTCCGCTCCACGTGATGCCTGGGGCCGAAAAACTCTTTGTGCTGGGCTGGGAGAGCGCGGTTCCTCCGGCATGACCGTCAGCTTGGCGCTGCGGGCGCTCGCCGTGCTCCCGCTGGGGCTGTGCTGGCTCCCTGAGGTGAGTCTGACCTCCAGAGCGGCCCTTCCAGGAACGCTGCGCTGGTTCTCAGAAAAACTTAAAAAAATAAATGATTAAAAAAAAAAAAAAAGAACAAGAAGAAGAGACGACACGGTTCTAAGCCAAACTCCGTCCGTAATCACGAAGATAAAGCTGTTTCCTCTTGCGCAGCCCGTGCTTAGCGCGGAGTAAAGCCACGAGGACTTGGCACTGGGACTTGCTGAGCTGTTTGCTGGCGTTCCTTCCAGGTTAGGTCCAGCGAAGGGATAGTCTTGTGTCCATTTGTTTTTCGTGAAAAAAATGCAAAGCTCTTCTTCTTCTTGCAGAAATTCCTCGGCGCTTTGGATGCGGAAGATGTTTTGTCTTACTTTGGAAGCAGCTCAGTGGCTGATGGTATGCAGGGCTCAGTCCTTCCCCGGGTTAGAACACATCTGACAGCTGATTTCTCATCCTGTGTGCTTGACAGTGCTAAGAACACTGATTAACAACCCCTGATCTGAGCAGCATTTGGTGTTTCTGAGTCCCAGTGCAAGCGAGACAGTCTGGGTTCCAGTGTGAGACTGGATGAAGAGATGTGTCAGAGTTTAAACTCTGCTGAAGGAGATGTGTTCAATCTCTTTGCACGTTTCTGCTGCACTCCTTGTTCTCTATATTTCTACAAGATTAACAGATCTTCTGACAAAAGCTTTAGACTAAGAGTAACTTTAAATACTTGTTAATTATTATTTTTTTTAATAAATGCACCAAGAGATTTGAATTCTGGGTCTGGATTGATAATAGTTCAGAATAAAGATACGTTTTGAAGTCTCAAATCCCTAAAGGAAGGGTGTTGTCTTCTTGTGAGTTCACTTAGTGCTCATCCCAGTGTCTTTGTCTCCCTTGTGATAATTCCCACTCAGTAATTGTTAAAAACTGCAGGAACAAAACTGTCTCAGCCTTTTTTAGATGAACTGTTCTCCTTATTGAGAGAGCAACAGCTCCAGTAAATTCGGTGCCAGTTTCTGTTGTGTGTTCCCAGTCACATTATCCTCACTTTGAAATACACAAAAGCACAGAAATTCTCTGGCTGTTGACACCATGACCCCAAGAGGCCACAGTTGTCATTTGTAGGGTATTTCTCCTGGGGAAATTGACCTTAGGTTTTTGTGTATCGTCATTTCTCATAACTGCTCCCCTTGTTCTGGTCTTGTTTCATTCCTTTCAGTACCTGAGTTTGTTGTGGCTGAGCCAACTTGCCCTTGTAAAGAAGAACATTTTGGGCTGAGGCTCTGTCGGGTCCAGCACTGCTCCATCCAGGCCTGGGGCCAGCTCTATGCCTTTGAATTCCTAGAGGACCACGCCCTCCTTTCCTCCTCCTTTGTGAGCAGCCAGGTGGTGAACTCTTCCTTTATTTTACTGAAGAGATTCCCAGGGAACTGCTTTGCAGGTGGAAAACCCCTGCAGCCTCCTGGGGCCAGGAGCAGAGTCACTTATTGTGAAGGGCAGCTGGTGAGTATGAGCTGGAACAGCCTTTGGGGGTTGGCAGCTTCGTCCACAAGTGTGTGAACCATCCTCTGAATGAATCTTTTAAAATAAATGAATAAATCTCTCCATGGATAGCAAATATCTTTGGAATAACTCAGAGGTGGAATTTTGTCTGCTTCAGCAAGGAGTCGTCACTGTGGGTGAGGAGAAGATTCACATCAGGCCAGTCAGGAGCAAAGATGTGGCTCTGCTGAAGGACCTCGGCTTCTCCAGCCCCCACATCCTCGTCAAAAGTGCTGCAGGAGAGGCAAAGGCAGCCAGAGGTAACAGCCATGGAAAGGCAGCCCTGCAGGAAAAGCTGTCTCCTGGGACATTGCTTCCATGAGCTCAGAGGAAACATTTGTGTGTACAAATACAGGAGTAGACTTGAAAACGTTTCTCACCTCAGTAACACCAGTGTGTTTGATGTGGGGGGTTGTTGTTTTGGTAGCACAGGTGTGTTGCTAAAGGTGCTGAAAGACACCAGCAGAAGTGGGAAAGCTGAGCAATCCCCTGGAGAAGTGGACTTGCAGCTGAGTTATTGCAGCCTTTGGGGAGAGGGAGTGGATCTGTAGGACTTTTTGTGGTGCATTTGACCCTCCTGGTGTCCCTTTGTGCTGTCCAGCAGGGTGGGCTCCTCCTCGCCTGCACAAGAGGGCTGAGGCAGCTGTCAAACATCTGGAGCTGATGGTGGTGGCAGGGCCAGATGTTTACTTGTACCACAAAGAAGACACAGAGAGATACGTCCTGGCCAACCTGAACATTGTGAGTGGCTCTGAGTTTGGGATCCTGGCCCAGAGTGGTCCCGGGCAGGACCTCGGGGTGGTTGGGGTTACCTGTCCCTGGTACATGTGCAGGGCATTCCTCTGTGCTTCCCTGGGCATGCAATTCCCAAATTCCCTTGTACGAGGAGCTGCATGAGTGAAAGAAGATCTTAGAGGATTTAAAACCCACATAGAAAATGTAGCTCTTAATTATTAATGTTGCAGCTCAGGGAAAGAGTTCACCCTGTTGCTTTCAGTGGGATTGAGCTAAATCTACTGAATAAATGTTATATTTTACATTTCACTGTTTTATTTCTGTTGCAGAATTTTCATGTCTCTTTTTGCTGTTATTAACAAATTTTTTTCCTAATGCTAATGCAGAAAAGTCTTTAGCATTCACTCTACCCTATGAAACTTTTCATGCAGATTCTTCTCTCTGCTTCAGAGGATCTGACAAATCCAGCCACTTCTCATCTCTTGGCAGATTTATTCACATTTGTAGTGCATATGTTAGTGTTGTAGTTACCTTTGTAATGAGTGCAGCCCAGTTTTTGGGAACAGGGAGTGGGAGTCCCCAGGGCTTCTTCTTTATTGAATCCTTTCTGTCTCTTCTCAGGGAGCAGAGCTGCTCAGAGATGCCTCACTGGGGGCTCATTTCAGAGTTCACCTCATGCAAATGCTGGTTTTGAGAGAGCCAGAGGTAAGGAGAGGGCTGTGTTTGAGGGTTGTCCAGGCCCAGAGCTGTTTGGAATGTACCAACGTGTGCCTTCCCTCCAGGCAGAGGTGAACATCACAACCAACATCACCTCCTCCCTCATCAGTGTCTGTGAGTGGAGCAAGAAGGTGAACCCTCAGAACGACTCTGACCCCCAGCATGCTGACATTGTCCTCTACATCACCAGGTGCTGAGCTCCCTGCCCTGGGAGGGACTGGGAAATAGGATTACGACATTTTATTCAGTTTATTCAGTTTATTCAGTTCTCCTGTCTTGGATTTTTTAATGTGGAATCATCATAAAATTTGAGCTGTGGGCACTTGTGGCAAAAGAAATGTTAGATAGCTGGCAAAGCCAGACTAGGAAAACTCAGATAAATTCAGCTGAATGTCTAGACCTGACATTTTTAGCCGTGGGGTTTCTTTGCTCTTTCCTCTCTATGTCTCCCTTACTTTAGGTTTGACCTGGAGCTGCCTGATGGGAACAAGGAGCTTCGTGGAGTGACTCAGTTAGGGGGAGTCTGCTCCTCCTTCTGGAGCTGTGTCATTACCCAGGACACTGGCTTTGACCTTGGAGTCACCATAGCCCATGAGATTGGGCACAGGTCAGTAGGAAACTGCCAGAGCAGCCCAGTAAGTTTTATTCAGGTAAAAACATTCTCAAGTTTAAGGAAAGAAGCAAAAAGACCTCTTGACGTGAAAGGGAATTTCTCATGGACTATTCTAAACCTTTTGGTCATCATCATGGATTGTTTTGGAAAGAGTTCCTTGCATTTCTTGCATTCCTGCGTGTCCTGTGACAATTAGAAGCTGCAAAGAGGAGAGAAACCGTTTGTGACAACAAAGAAGGAAGGGCTGCAGAGGGAGCTCAGTCCTTGCTTAGAGAAGGGAGGCTCTGAGGGAATCCAGCCTCTGGGTTTCTTCTCCTCGAGGCTCTGTGCTGCTTCTGTTACAGCCTTGGAATTGCCCACGATGGAGAGGGGAATTTGTGCAGCAGCAGTGGTTACATCATGGGCTCAGCAGGAAACCACAACAGCATCGACCTCACCTGGTCTCCGTGCAGTCGGGAGCAGTTCCTGGCCCTTGTCAGGTAAGGGAATGGTTGAGTTCTTCAGTTCCCTGTGCTGGGAGCTTAGGAGAGAAAAACTCAAAGAATAAAAAATTTTACTGAAAAATGAAGAATGGTGAAAAGCTTGGGGTTTGTTTATTTCTTAGCACTTGTTGCTGAGGTTAAATCCAGTTTTTGCTTCACGTAGCTGGAAGTGGCTTTGGTTGGTGCTTGATGTGCCTGGGCTGGATTGGATTTCTCAGACACTGGCTCAGCCTGCACATTTTATTTACAACATCAGAGCATCCAGGCTCAGACAGGCACTGCAGGCTGTGCTGGCTGGGTGCAGGACAGGAATGGGATAGAACTCCAGCAGCAGGGAACTGTGAGCAGCTCCAGGCAGC